AGTTATAACCCCCAAAAAAACCCCGAAAATAGGCTGGCCAAAGCGTAATACCTGCGAGGCAGGTCTTGCTCCACATAAGGACCTCTCCCAACCAATTGGATCTCGGTTACTGGAACAACCGGTTAGGGTGTACAAACCAGAGCCTGTGAGGTGCTTCAGGTGCCACGGTATAACCACCTCAGCGCCCGATGTCAATTTAAAGAAGCCTTGTCGGTTTAGCGCTTTTTTTATTATAATAATAATTTAAAGAAGTATGCGGCATCTGCAGCGGGCCTCACCCAACCAAGGACTGCTTGAGTAGATTCAAGAGAGAAGCTACGGAACCTCGATGTCCTAACTGCAACAAGAAACATCATGCTTAGAACCTACACTGCCCGGAGAGGCTCCGCCGTGTCAAGGCAACATGGTAAACTCCAGTTGTCCAGCCTCCAACATCAAGTAGAGCCCTCACCACTAAGCAGCAACCTCGTCCAGAGGAGGCTACAGTAATACTTGCAGTGCCACTTCCCCGGCCATACCCGACGAAGGAAGCCGAGGAAACATCAGCAACGGGGTCACGCCCTTCCTCAGCCAGCTTGCGATTCTCCTATTCAAGCTCCCACCCAACAATGGGAGCCAGCAGCCCCCATGCTGCAGGAACAGACTGCAGCCAATGCGTCAACCCTAGCACCACAACGGTCACAAGTGACAAGCACTATACCCAAAGAGAGCATTGCAGGACATCCCACATTACCCTTGAGCCATCAAATGATGTAGATTAACACGTGCTTCATCGATATCATATGCGAACTGACAGACTCAGAAGAACACAAAGAGACATTCAGAACTATTGCGAAGACCTTCGTAATACAGGCATGACGGACAAAACAATCCATGTGTTTATTGGCAAATTTACCCTATCACCCAACACAGGACCCAGAGACAATGATGGGGGGCCTGATGGCCTCAGCCAGTTGTTGAACATAAAATATTTTGCCGTGGAACGCACTGAAACTATATCAAGACCCTGAACTTGGCCACAGAACAGCACTGAATTATTTCGACATCTCCTTCAGACGGGTCATCTTAGCATTAAGACCCGTGTCAGGACGTAGTTCCTGACGAATAGATCAAATCAAATCAAAACCAGGACCGAAACGTTTTCGAATATCCTAGTGTTTTCTCACTTGTCCTTCTAAATTACCCTCCAGGTATGTATGGAGCTCTGAATAATTAAGTGGCTGGTGTTTTTGAAATTCCAAAACTCTCCTCTCTGCTCCAAACCTAATATATAAATATGATTAACGGTGGAGGCGAACGCTCTACTGTACGACGGAGAATTTTGTTTCATCATTAATGCAATGAATGTGCCGATTCCTTGGCACGTTTAGCGGTTCAGAACCTTCAATCTTTTACCAGGAGGATATTTCTGGAGGCAACGCTCCTGCGGCCTGATCACAGATCAGACCTTCTGGCGAATCAAGACCAGATTAATCAGGCTGTTACCGATCACATTCAGTCCAATGTCAGCACCACAGCACTGCTGCTCAGGAACCGATTGTAGTAAATTAGTTTCCAGACGACTTCCCAGTCGTGACCCAATTCTTGTGAATCAGTGATTTTGTTTTCGTTTTCATATGTACACGTTAAGAGCTGTTACCCTTACTTAAAGTAGTTCATTGTAGTCACACTTGATCTTTGGTTATCGTACTTACCAGCTTCGTCTGTCTCCTACTACGATGCCATGATTATTAAGTCACGCTGAGGAATATTTTAATTGATTGCTTTGTATATCAAAGCTAGTTTATGATATAAATCATGGTAATTGATACTGACCCCTGGCTGTCTTCAAGGAGGAGCTGGACAGGCACATAAAGTCAGTACCTGATCAGTTGGGCTGTGATTCGTACGTCGGTTTGCGTGCGGCCAACAGCAATAGGCTAGAGTAAGACGCATGTGCAACATCTGGGTATCTTTATTGTAGACGTTTCGCCATCCAGTGGCTTTATCAATACAAATTCCAGGACATAACTTGAAGACAGTAGAACTATGTACAGAAGATGAGGTAATCAGTCCCTCAACCTAGGAGTAGGTGCGAACAGCACCATAGTCG